AATTTGGTATTCATGGAGTTGGGTTCGGTATAGAAGATGGAACACTCGGAATGGATACCGGTGATCATTTCAAACACACTGAATCACATCAGTAGATACACTCTTTCGTTTCTCTCTACTTCCCATATAAACGAAATTCTTCCATTTGCTTTTAGATATATATGGAATCACCCTCCAAATCCCGGAGTCACACCAACTACGCTGCGGGATCTACAGTGACCTGAATAAACTTACCAAAACAAAAACAAAAATCGAACGTCTTACACGTCTTCTATCGGCTTCATTAGTATTTTCAAGCTTTTCTTTTTTTCCTGTTATGCTACAATATTTAATCAATTTGCGCGCTGAATAAAAATACCAGATGTGAACTATGCCCCACTTGAAAAATAAATAAAACATCATTTGCTTTATTCAAGCATTATCCAAAGAATTGTTCACTGATTATAAATAGAACTTCGAAGGTTAAATGTCTGTCTCCTCCGGGAGTAGAATAAAATGGAGTTGTTATGATCTTTCTTAGGTCAATCTTGAGAAGATCATAAACTACTATCTTCTTTTTTTCTTTATTTCAATAACAACAACGTATGTCATAACAAACAAACATATATATGTAAACAGAGAAAAAGATGAGAAGGAAAAGAAGAAGTTACTTTATCATATAGATGTCAACCATAACAGGGGTGAATGTAGAAAAAAATGGAGTATATTGACTTATATAATCTGTATCTTTTCCATTTTTCATTTTTTCGAGAAAATTTCTCCACAAACCGACAGGAACAATCAAGGATGTGGTGTGGGTGTTGTTATGTGTGGCTGCGACGTGTGGATGTCAGTGGAGTAGTAGACCCAAATTCAACTCACACCCAACTCATATATAATTCTCCTTCTCTCGACGGAAAAACAGACAAAATACTCAAGATTCTTCTCTTATCTACAGCTGTTTATTCAATTTATTATGAAACTGAATGAAAACATCCAATAAGGCTAACAATCGCTTACAATTACAAGTTTATTTTTAAAATTCATATTAGCTATAGATTAAAGGTTTATCACATTAAGTAATTTCATTCTCTACTATTTAACTTTCTATTTATTGAATCATGTTTGAACAGAAACGATTGGTTTGGTGTGCACTTTAGCTATTCAATTGCTTTGTCACAAATTATTGAGAAGATTATTTAGATAAAGAGAGATTATGAGATTTCACATATCGCCGTTTTTTTTTACATGAGACACTTACCAAATAGAAGAAATAAACACTGGTGTGGGTCAACGAAGTCTATGGGTTACAACAAATGACATTATGATTTCTTCGTATCGTACCGAACTTTTCATCAAAAAAGTGTCAATTGACAGTTGTCGGTAATGTTAAGAGAGCCTTAATGAGATCATCCAGCATGACCTCAGTATACGAAGCACTCGTCAAAATTTTAATTTTTTATTTTTTATGTGCATTGGAAAGGACAATGTCTGAAACTAATAACCCTAAATTTTTAGCTCATTTTGACTTTTTATAGTAAAGTTAGCTCGGACCGACTTTTAGCACTGTCTACAGAGTATCAACAATAATAATGGTAAATCATCTCATTAATGTCTGATACTATTACACTACTAGGAAGGAGAGCATTTTTTCATGTCATATACCAAATGATAGAGTATGGATAGATGAAAAAAATGAGCTATATAAAATATTGTATATCATTCCTTTACTGGGCTAATATGAATGAAAAAAGGTAACAGATTACCAGCCTATGTCGTCAGACTTTTGGAGGTATATCTGCTGCCATTTATCGAGAACATCAGAACCCAGACTGAATTTTTTATATGTTGTGTAACTTTTGATTCTCTACAAAATGGTAAAAACATTAGGAAAAAAAGGGTATGTTGGATACAAAAAGTGGCATATACTGTCAAAAACTAGGTAAATAGCATCGAGGAAAACGACCTTGAGCGTTTTCCAAGGACGTTCACTTATGAAAATTTTCACTTCCGACGAATTACAATTCTACCCTGGATCGAATGACATAGACCACTTTTTTGAAAAAAGAAAAATTTTCGACCCTTCTAGACTCCCGAGGAGGAGTACGAGAATTTCGAAAAAAGTTTTTTTTCTTGTAATCGAAATATGATCAATCAGAAAGATAGGTGTGAGAATGCCGATCACAAATATATGCTGGAAATTCATTATCAGTTGTAATTTATTAGTATAAAGACCACTTTTCTGTTAAAACATTAGAAGTTTTGTGGGTGTAGGCGCGGGCGCGGGCGCGGCTGCGTGCCTGTGGGTGTGAATGCGAGTGGAGAGAATAAGTACACCCACACCCTTTTTTTCTGCGATATGTTCTGTCTTTTTGGGCGCCGTAGTGTCATCAGGTCTTTACGTTATTAACATTATGTTGTTTATGATGCTAACATTTCGACACATAATTGTTTTCGTTACAGAATTGAATACTACAGAGATGAAAACCTGTTTCTCAGAAAATCCTTCTAGTGAAAATCTCTTCACGAACCTTTTTAATACAACGCGCATTGCACAGAGCAAAAACTAATGGATGGTCGTCACCGCTGGCTCATGAACCTTAATTCATACATCCTCACATGAATTTCAGTTCTTTCCCTTTCGCTTCGATTTAAGAGAATCGACAATGTATGAGCTGCTTTCGAACTAACGAGAAGCATCGTCTCAAAACTGTCTTTACTAAGAGAGCCCAATCGTTACAGAAATTTTAGGCAAATCCTAAACGAAGTCAGAATGCTTAAAGGAGAGCCAGTGGTCTAAATGGGTGTGGGGTGGGTGGGTGTGGGTGTGGGTGTTGGTGCGGGTGTTGGCCTGGACACCCACACCCACATACCCTTTGACGTTTTTTCTTCAGATTAAAATCGTGAAATTTTTCTTATGTGTTAAGCTTGAGGAAACGCTCGCGATTATATTGGTAAGCTGTTTTTGATTCCACTCTTACAGCCAAGGTAGCGGGATTTAGTATGGTCTCGCTACGGGAATCGTCTGCGATGACAGTATTGGTGTATTTATGAGCCTTTTAAATCTCATAAATGCTATACTTGAATGTTAAACTTGAAAATGGGTAGGAGCCGAAATAATTCGGATCTTTGGCGCAGCTGGTTAGACGTTGAACATGCTCACCGCCGCGGACAAGCCGTCCACGGGCTCACGAGTCGGAATGAATTCGTGACCAATGTAGCCGGTGTAGCCGATTTCTCCAATAGCGGCCACAATGTCAGGGTAGTGAATTACCTGTTTGTCATCTAATTCATTTCGGCCCGGGTAGCCTGCGGTGTGAATGTGGCCGATGACGTCACGATGAGCTCGCAAGTATTTGATGACGTCGCCATGCAGGATGTGCACATGATAGACGTCGAACAGAAGACGAATGCTCGGCGAGTTTACTTTGCGAACAACGTCGGCGCAGAAATCGATGTTATCGCCCTGGTAACCGGGATAACCCTTTATCGAATGTGATCCATCGCGCGTGTTGAGATGTTCCAGGCAAACGGTGACACCTTTCTCGGCAGCATAGGTAGATAGGTCGAGAAGATTTTTCACGCAGTTCTCAAAACATTCGTCAATCGACACTTCACCGCTGGAAGGATCTTCAGGATTGAGCCACTTGTATCCGGTGAAGGCGATCACGTTCGAAAAATTGTACTCGGCGGCAAGGTCGATGGATTGTTTGATGCGAGCAATGACTTCTTCGTGATTCTTTAGATTGCTGAGGCCTTTCATAAAAGGCGCTCCGGGCATTCCGTTCCAGCAAATCGCACATTTCAGATTGTGTTTCTTTAGAGTAGGATAAATCTCTGGCGGCGCGAGTTCGACGCTTTCAATATCGAGGTTAAGTGCAAGTTGGCAGACTTCTTCTGTACTCCATTCCCATTCGATGTTGGCGAGGCACCAGTAAGCGATGGATTGTTGGAATTTGTGCGGATTCAACATTAATAATAGTAGTGTATAATAGGGATCGGTAAGCAGGGTGTGCAGCGCGTCACGAAGATAACTGGTAAGAGCGACTTTTTCTTCTGACCTTATTTCGATGCACTTTCAAATTGTGATTAGAATGGAAAAGAAAAAGAAAAAAAAACCTAAGGTATATGTATCGTCTAGTGTATTCTAGTTTTCATTAATAAAGTCTGAAGAAGACAACAGCATGTGCCGAAACATCACAAAAACGAGAAAGAATCTTCTGCAAAAACCAGGAAGACATTTATTCAATATAAACAAACGATTGGCTTAAGCCCGGCTTTCACCTTATATATCTTATTGCTCACATACTCTACCTATGCTTATACGTAAAACATCAGCAATGATAAAAGGAAAAAAGTCAATAATGCGTAACAAAACATTAGTTATACAATTAGAAGAGAACCGAATAGATGGTGAGGTTGTGGGTGTGGGTGTGGGTGGGTGGGTGTGAGTGTGGGTGGGTGTGGGTATTCTATCGATGTAAACTCGCACCCACACCCCGCACCTACCCACCCTCACACACACACCGAACCCACTCTCACCCACACCCATCCACACCCCACCCACGCCCCACCCCGCCCCACACCCATCCATACCCACACCCACATCCACACCCTATTGTTTTCTAAATATTCTTGTGGTGTAGTATGGTAATACACTTTAGATGAAATCATTTTTAGAAAAATACAAAACGAGATTTTCTCATACAATAGATGATGCGAGCAGCCTAACGCAATGAGAATAAGATAGAAAAAAACTACATAAAAAAAAGTTCATTAATATAAAGACATTTTCTATTCATCCATTGACCTGTTTTCTCCTTTTAGATTGCTCATTGTTTATTCACGTGATTAGCTGAACCTCACACAAGTGAATAATTGAATGAAGTCTAATTTCACATTAATGATATCTGGTCTTGTTTTAATCATTGTTTTTACACATTTGTGCCCTCTGTTAAAACACATGATGAAATTTCAATCTTCTCATGATAGTTTTTATGTATTCATATCAAATATTAATGTCAAACTTTCTTATTTGTAATTAAATTATCATAGAAATCGATTTTATAATTTGGTGTTTTACTATGTATCATTTCGATAAATTCATTATCGACCTGTCGTTCCATTGTAATTTCTTGAAAAACATCTGTTGTTTGGATCTAAACTTATATTCATAATTAAAGCAGTGAAAAAAATTAACTTTCTTTTTCTAATTACCGTTAGAAAATGAAATTTTTTTGTGAATAGATTAATACTTGGTAAATTTTTTAAACCAATTGAGACAATAAATCGAGTTATATTAAGTGTTTCAATAGCTATACAAAATGATAAAATTTTAGTAAAATGAATAAAATTCTAATTACCATAACGAATAAATATATTAAGTGTTTCTATTCCATAACCTTTATGTCGTGCTGTTACTTCAGCAATCATAATCCCAACTTCACCACAATGAATATCATTTGGATTATTTATGGATAAATTCACATCACCTATCATTGATTCTATACATATCACTAATTGATTTCAAAACATCGATAAAAAAGTCATTTGTTTTTACCTATTTCATCATGTGTTCGATCAAATATTTCTTTTGATAAAACAATAAATGTACATTTATCTTTATCATCTAACCATGTCTGTTGCATTTCATATTCTTCGTCAATACTTAATGGTGACGAAGCAGTGAGTTCTAATATTTCTTCATTTTCCATCCATGTATGATATCTAATATGAAAATGGAATTTAATTAATTACGAATTGATTTTTACTTTTTCACATGATGTTTTTTATAAGGAACAAGAAGAATTGTTTGACCCACTAAAACTGTATTTGAATTAATATGCATTATTGATTTATATTGGCATCTTTTAGATATATTCTTTCTTGATTTATCTATAAAAGTAAACAAAAAAATAATTCGAGTCAAGAGAACCAAATGACTATGACGAATAGTTTTCTATAGATATTAGATACAATGACCATCAGTTATCGATAAGACAGCTGGTGGATAACTACATGTAGTGTTGAAGCCATTGAGTATTGATGAAGACAAAAGCAAAAAGTGTATGTTGAGCAATGTAACAAGATGTCATCACAACCCCAACAACAGATATTCATTTTACAAAAAAATAAAAGGTACTTTATCTAGAATAGTAACAATACACTTAGATTTATATAATTTACAACAAGTTATTAGTGAAACAATCGATTGTGCTCATCAGCATTCATTCAATCATCAAAGAAGTAGAATTTTAGTTGTGCAATTATAGTATTCTGAAGTTAAGGAGAAAAATACGGCCAGATGTTATCGTAGTCTCGGGAAGAAGTTGCGAAAAAAAAATAAAGCTTAATCAGAAAATAAAACATATGTAAGAGAAACCAAATATCTTTGAGGAAGCATATCGTGGGACAAATTTAGCAACAAACGATGGGCACTTGATTATAAATCTGGTACTATTCATTTTAATTTTATTGAACGTGATCGATTAATTGCTTCTCTTGAATCGTTACAGAAGGAAATACTTATCAGCCTACCTGAAATACGTTTTCTGAAAAAAAATCAAGTTGCTTTTACTCATGTTCGCTACAAAATAGTTATTGAATAATTCGTATTACTAGACAAAGTAAAAATTTTAATTCTTCCGAATGATTCGAACATGAGAAAATGGTCAGAAATATGACCGCTGTTTTTGAAAAACATAAATCTCATTTTTATCATCTACTTGAACAAATTTTACATTTATTTTATTTGTGTTTTTTCCCTTGTTGTATTCAAACAGAAAGACCTAAGTCGATATAAAAATTTTATTAAATTACAACAGAAATGTGTACTTTACCGTCGAATGTAAATCGGAAGAGAGGAGACGTGGATTTAATAAATCACTCAATTTCATCATGTTGTATCAATTCTATTGTAAAATTTCATTCCTTGCATTAAATAATATAAATATAAATTCAATTGAAATCATATTATACGTACTATTCAATAAACAATGAATGATAATAACCAATGAACAATATCGTACGATTTAAGCACATATTCAAAAAACAAATCACTTATTTTATGAAATAAGAAAATCTTCATTAGAAGAAACGCATCAAAATCATATATAAAACATACAAGAAAATCAATATTTCTAAAAAAGAAAAAATAATGAAGAATTTATCTAAATATAAATATTGTACTTTTTAAAGTAAAGAACTGCTTCTGGTGCAGAGTTTCTTCTTCGACCAGCTATTTCATCCTTATTGATAGAATATAAAGTTTGAAATTTATTTAAATCATTACTAATTTTTCTTCGTAATTCTTATGAAAAAATTGTTTAATAATTAAAATTCATTAATACGAAACTAGCACTACTATACCCATTCTCATATGAATGGAATAGAATAAATATTGTACTATTCAATAGATCAATAAAAAAATAGACATGATTCAAAATGAATGTGGTTGAATAATAACGAAATTAAAGAGAAAAATCTAGAATACAATAATAATAGAACAATAATTCGAATAAGTTAGGCATACGGATGACGAAGTGTAAAAAAAGAGTTCGATAGATAGATTTTTTAGATAAGACTTACTCTATCTGTAGTTCTATAAAAATTGAATATCATTCGAAATTATCGAATCGATACAAATTATATTGAATTGAATTTATTTGATATTTTTCCTTATACTTTTGTATTATCTGAATTGATTCATGAAATTAAAGATAAAATAAGTCATAGATAGTGATGGGCCGAAACATCTTCGAACATTGCGAAATGATATTTTCATTATAGCGAACGAAGGAAAGAAAGAAAAAAGCCTTACGTTATACTGTCATTTTTTTCTGTTCTCCCGGATATACGTAAGTTGATATATATGTTCTTTCGTTCGTCCATGAATTTTTTTTCCTTCTCGTAAGACGTTCACATGCGTTATAACGTAATAACCATTGAATGCAAAGGGATAACTAAACGATTATAGACGAAGCATGTATTTATTACATCTGACACGAAATAACGTAGGAGTTGTTTTTGACGTAATAAAAAAAAATATCATATATATATATTATCAAAATTACCATTCAGATGTTTATGTATTACCGGTACAAGCGTACTCTGAGAACGAATATTTTAGGCGACTGATTATTTAACTTCGGATAGACGTTCGAGGTTGACATCTGAAAATGCTGTTTTTTACTATTCTTAAATAAAAATAGTTTAAAAAAATGTACTGTTATTGTCTCATATATTTGTAGATATATTTATATTTTTTTTTGTATTATTTATTACTGCTGAATCATTAGAATTTTTGATAAAATAAATGTATGAAATTGAAACACAGTTAATAGATTGATATAACTTAATTAAGAAGTCAATGAGGTTATGACACCTGAGCATACTAAAACTGGGGTGAGGATAATTATACTGGCTTTTCTGAAAAATTATTTTCTTACTTGTGATTATAATACAAAAAAAAACATCCGACAAAATTCATTTCAAGGTAAGAAAACAATTTCAAAAATCGTTTCTTTCATTTTGTTCTCCTATTCGCTATATATCATAACGCGTAAGAAACGTAAGACGTTCATTACACCGTCTATTATATATCTGTTCTTTCGTTCCGTCGTAGCTTTTACGACTATATTCATCTATATCACAACTTTTTCTTTTCTGTTCTGTCACGACTTGTGACGATATGATAATGAACGTATAACGCTTCTTACGGATTACAGCCCATCACTAGTCATAGATGAATGGAACAGTGCTTTCTTCGAGATTTAGAAGTTCAGATATATATTTTTTGACGCAAGTACCAAAATTTCCAGGATAGCAAATGCAATCATGGAGAAAAGGGACGCCGCTGGATCTCTGCGTTTGATAAAACATCAATCAAATTATTGATTGCTAAATTCATACATTCATGAAATGTATGAATAAATGTATCACAGAGGTGAGATCGGTTAGCATTTTTTATGAACCGAACCAAGCTTAGCGAAGGCGAAGTTTTTTTTATACTAATTATAGTACCACTGCTTTATAAACGAAGATTCTTTTATATAGAAGTATTTATTATTTATTTTCATTAAATCAAAAATAATCTTTTTACAATCCTTTGAAGAAATAAAAACAATGTTACATTAGTGTAATGCGAAATTATCTGTATCATCAAGTCCTTGTTGATACAACTTGTATGAATGATTAAAAATCATATCGTTGACGACATCTGGAGCTAATTTTGAACCCTTTTGTGTAATGATATTACCGGTAAAATTGAATTCTCTTTCAACGGCTGCACTTGAAGCCGGTACAGAGAAAACATGAGCAGCTATTTTTCGAAAGAATAGGATAAGTAAGATGCATCTTTTTCCAGAAAGATAAAGGATTATATTCTTCTTCAAGAGATTCAGCTGAATTTGTTGATTTATCTGACACTTGTTTAATATACAATTCGATTTGTAATGCATGTGATGAGGATCGTACAGCAGCATGTTGATCGATATCATCTTCATCGTCATCCTCTGCATTTGAATAAAAATCACTCATAGATTTAATTGGACGATTTGTAACAACAACAAATTGAATACCAACAACAACGAATAATTAACATTTAGAGAAAATAAAGAATCAAGAAGATTATTAATTGAATCATCACACTACATTATAACTTGCTCATCTCTTAAAACCAATCAAAAAAATGTGAAATAACATCTGATTTACGAGCGACATCTAAACACCCCCCACAAAATTGAACGCCACCCTATAACAGAAAGGCACCCGGAATAGAAGGCCACCCCGGACCGTTTGATTCTCTGGACATAATATAACGCCATACCAATTTCAAGGAAAAATGTGAAAAAATTTCCGACAAGACATAATATAACGCCACCCAAAAAAGACCAATTCACTGGGACATAATAGAAGGCCATGCCTTTTTATTCTGAGGGGGGGGGGGGGGAGATAAACTTTCTACGCACATTTTTTTTTTTTTTT